GATGAGTAGAGTAAAAGTTGTCATAGGCTCAAAATTCCTTGATGCTTCCTTCGGGAAGATATGGGGGTCGCAAAGGCTAAAAATGGCTCGAAGTTTTCCCCCCGCAAATCTCTATACTTCATTTTTTCGAGCTGAAATTTTTTCTGTGACAACTAGGATCAAATTGGGGTGCGTATTTTTTTTTTCTTTTAAAAATATCGTTCCTAGTGCTCAGGAGAAGCAAAATACTCGAAGCACCCTCAAAAAACATGTTTTTTTTCAATAGTACTAATTTTTAAAGGGCTGCCAAATTTCGTAGGAATAACATTTTTAAGAAAAAAAAAGCGCACCCCAATTTGATTAAAGTACTCATAAAAAAGAATTGAGCCCGATCGGACATACCGTGTAGGAGAAAAGGGGGGAAAACTTCATTTTTTGGTGAAAAAACTGACTTTTGAGAAAAAAGCAAAGAAATTTCTGTTGTTTGGTTTTTTCAGCATATTTTGCGATTTTTTTCGAGTTTTTTTATATATAAGATGTGGCTTTTCAGTTCTCAAAGTGTGCTCAATGGATAGAGGGCATTTAAATCTATATACTAATCACAAAAAATGAAAAACGAAAAGTGTGAAAATTCTGAGTCGGAAAAGGGGGGGGGGTCCCCTTAAGTAAAAGAGGTGGCGAAGAGATAAGTCAAGAGTAATACGATCTTCTTTTGATTAGCAATATCATATTTTAATCTTGTAGAGATTATGTTAACAATGTTTATTTTATGATTATTTAGATATTGTTCCTGATTTTGTTACAATGGGTAAATCAATGGGTAATGGATTTCCTGTTGCTGCATTAATAACACGTCGATGTATAACACAAAAATTTGATAAAGATGGTATTGAATATTTTAATACCTATGGTGGTAATCCAGTTAGTTGTCGTGCAGCTATTGCTGTACTTGATGTAATTGAAAGAGAAAAATTAATGGATAATGCACGAGATGTTGGGAATTATTTATTAAATAAATTAAAGGAATTAGGTAAAAAATATGATATTATTGGTGATGTACGTGGTCGAGGATTTTTTCTTGGTGTTGAAATAGTACGTGATCCAAAAAAACGTGAACCTGGTATTGAAGAAGCACATGAAATCAAATATAAGTATGAAAATTTCAATATTAATCTTATTATTATTTAATAATAATATTTCTAGACTTCGTGAACATATGATTATTATTTCACTTGATGGACCTAAGCATAATGTTATTAAATTTAAACCGTAAATAATATATTATTGAAATTTTTATAACTAAACTTTTTTTTATTTTAGACCAATGTCTTTTTCAAAACTTGATGCTGATTTTTTATGTGATAAATTGGAAACAATTGTTCGAGAATGTCAAAATAAGAAAGATGAAAAACAAGAAACATATATGTAGACAGAATGCGCTTACAAAAAAAAATGAAATGTTCCTGATTTATCTCACATTTTTTTCTTCTTTTTCTCAGTATCTCTTGTATCATTTCATACCTTGAAACTTATTATTGTAACAGATTAAATATTTAATTATGCATAGAAATGAAATCTATTTTTCTTTCATGTATATATTACAATGAAATGTAGTGGTGTTATTTTTCATACTAAAAAACAAAAAAAAAAATAAAATGGGTAGCTATGGGATTTTGATTTTATTGTTTTATTAAAATACTACTTAATTTTAGATCCAAATATAAAAGAGTAATCCTTCAGAATGAACACTATTTGTTTTATGTATTTAATTTAACAGATTTCTATTGAGAAGTATTTATCATCTTACATCTCTAGGACACATGTAATAACACACTCAAAGGTTAGTAGTATCACTCGTCCTAGGATATATATATAATTATGTATTCTGTGGTGTATATTTCTATGTAGTAATACAGTGTATATATAATTCAATATGAGATCAACGAACAAATATATGTAGAGATGTGAATATACGATAGTTGCAACAGGTAGGAATCTATCCTGATTAGTATCGATATTAGTCTAAATAGATAGATCGGATTGATTTATTGTCATGTATTATTTTTTCACTATTCTACTCTATAATAGTTAAATAAATTTCTCGATTCATCATTTTTGTCAGTAATGATGTAAGTATCTTCCGTCACTATTTTGACATTGTACACTATTTAGATCTTTATTGATGAATAGAAAATTTCATGAAATTACAGATTCTAAATTGGATAAAATGGAAAAGAGCTCGGAAAAAATGAGGAAAAGAGCTCGTTTTTTTCTCCAAGCTCAAATATAGGGAAAATGAGCTTGGAAAAAAGCTCATTAACGCTAAAACAACGAAAATATAGAAAAAGAGCTCGGTCCGAGACGATGAAGAGAAAATCAAAATATAGTGCTCTAGCTTATGTATATATGTATAAATAGAATCCTATATGACAAAGAGTAATCTTACTACTGTTATATTTATTATTTATTAATGTATAATAAAGATGCATAAGATAAAGATATATAATAAATCAGTCCTTGGACAAAGCATATTTTACTTTTTTTCTTCTACCTTTGGGATTTCTTTTTCCAATTAATTGTGGAATTGGTCGAACACCCCAAATCATCATAAGACCTATTGTATGAATACATGAATATTCTTTAAGACCATATTTACAAGAACAGAAGATTGGAGGTAACATGTTTGAATAATTTAAGAGTCGTGCAGATCCTAACCATTGCTTGAAATGTTCATGATGTTGAGAATAAAAAAATTTGATAAGTACCATCATGATAGATTTTTGCTTTTAATTGATATTGACATTTGGTAAAAGTTCGATATTGTGAACATCTATATGTTATTGATTCATAATTTTTAAAATTTTCTCTACGATAGACACTGACGTTGTGAGACTTTATCAAAGACATTCAATCATTTTCACTAACAATTGTTTCATTTATCTCCTTCCACCACAATTTGATTTATGTTTAAAGATTTCAGATAAATTTTAAGTATACAATAGAATGAAAAGTTTTAAATAAACTTTTGTAAACAATGCTTCTTCACAATTCTTTCGTAAATATACATTGTGTCGTCACATGATTCTTTTTTTTCTTTTCTGTTCATCCATTGCATGCATCATATACCCTAGTCTATATTACCACATGTGCACATATGTAGAAAAAAAAGACCGAGCTCTTTTCCTATATTTTCTTTGTTTTAGCATTAATGAGCTTTTTTCCAAGCTCATTTTTCCTATATTTGAGCTTGGAGAAAAAAACGAGCTCTTTTCCTCATTTTTTGGACCAATTAAGCACTCCAAGCTCACTTTCCTCATTTTTTCCAAGCTCAATTCAGCGTCGTTCTTCTAAATTAGTTATTATTCGTCGAATATAGACTTTATTGATTGATTCTATATATATATATATATGTTGTAGGCAAAATGGGAATTCAGGCAAATTCTAAATTTGCCTAGGCAATGTTGGAATTCTAATTTTGACTAAACATTTATCAGTCATAACTGGAATTCCAATTCCGCCTGGGTAGATTTAGAATTTGACTAGAGATAAATTCATACAAACACATGCTTAACTAAAAGTCGAATGGACTGAAACAAAAGGAAAATTAATATCGTAGATGTCACGTCGGTAAATATACTCTAAGAAAAAAGGTTGTTTTACCGAATCTGTGCTCAACGGAAGAACATTTTTGGTTCCATATGAAACTGCAAAACTTAAAAAAGGCTCTGCAATTTCGTATGGAATCAAAAAGGTTCTTCTCATGAACACAGGTTCGGTAAAAAAACCTACTTTTTTAGAATGTAGTATAAATATAAATGTATGCATTACAATTTAATTTAAAAAATATCTGAATTGGATTCAACGATCATCCAAATTGATAATGGCGAAATTCTTTATTATAAGGAAATTAGAAAAACATATTGATTCCTTAAGTGAAAAATTTCGAAAAAAAAGTTTTATAAAACAAACTGTTTATAATGATATTATTAAATGTTTATTTATACCCAAGAGGAAATCATCAGGTTCGTTTTCTTCGAAATTTATTTTTTTGAATAAAACGACATTTCATTTTAATAAGTTAAAATTTTTTCTTTTGTAAATCGTTTAGTGAATTAAAAAACTATTCTTTTTATTCAGATTTTAGTTATTTTGATTGTATGAATTTATCTGTAGTCAAATTCTAAATCTACCCCGACAAAATTGGAATTAAAGTTATGACTGATAAATGTTTAGTCCAAATTAGAATTCCAACTTTGCCTAGAAAATATATATATATACTGTTTGTACCCGGTTATATTTGGTTTATTATATCACATGTTGTTTGCGAAATGAATGCATGTATGTATGTTATGAATGATAAGAAATAGAAAGACTCTATGATAAATTATAACGCTGAATAGTTATTCGACTTTATTTCCATTGCATAACTTCGTATCAAAGTGAGTTGATAGAATAGAAATTTGATTAATAAAAAAACAAACACATGTTAAAACTTTGAAAATTTAAATTGGTCAATAAGAAATTCTCCTACGAACCGTTCTATATGCCATTATCGGTTATTACTTTGTTGTATATAAGCAAGTGAGTTATTACGGGTATTTATCGCTATAATAAATATGTTCGATTAAATATTTACTTTACAAAAATTATTCATTTGAAGTCTAATAACCAATTAAAAAACTACTTGAAATTTAACAAAAATAGTAGAATCATATAAATCTCAAAGGATTTTTTTTCTTCTTATTTCATCATTTCTATATCCAATTATTCATTAGAAATTTTTCAAAAGTATTTAATTGTGTTTTTTTTGATTATAAAATTTTTAGAACAAAAATTCCTCAAATTTTTTCATTAATATTACATCGTCTCATATTATACATATCAATCATTGGTTTTGTCGTAATAAAAGATTTTTAAAAAAAGCATATATGGGTTATTTTTAATTGAATTCTTTTATACAGAACGATAAGTTTATAGTCAAACGTGTGTTTTTTTTCATTCTTCGTTGATATTTATTGTATATGGGTAATATACAACAACATTGCCGAGGTATAACTAATGATCTTCTTGAACTTGATCGTCCTGGAGCCATTTATTTACCTAATGATACTGTATCTGGTAGTATTTTATATAATAAAACAACAAAAGCATCTATTGTATTAACTGGTATTATTTATTTTAAAAAACGTAAAAGAAAAAGTTTAGAAAAATGTCAAATAAAATTTTTTTCAACTGAATTTAATCTTATTTCATCATTAAATAAAAAACAAAATTTTCAATTACATTTAGATGATCATTTACCACCATCATTTAATGATATAGATACATATCCAAATATAACATATTCAATTAATCTTATTATTAATAAAAAATCTAAAAATGAAATTTTATCATCAATACCAATATGTGTTTGTCCTCATGTATATATCGATCGACCTTTACTTTTAACACCATTATTTTTTGGTCCAATTGAAAATCATATATCAGGTATTAAACTTGAAGTTAAAATAAATCGTGCTATTTTTACATTCAATGATATAATACAAATTTTTTATGAAATGCAAAATCCAAATCAAGCAAATATTTATAATATTCAAATAACTTTAGGAATCTATTATATTATCGAATCAAATGTTTGGCAAAAAGATTTATGTAATGCTGCTGAGAATTTCAATAATATGGCATCAAATAATAAATTAATAAGAAATAAAGCTTTAATAAATATACCACATAAAATATATTTACCGCCAACATTTAAATTTAAATATGGACTAGATAATGATTCATCATCATTTAATTTAGAAATTGAGTATAAAATACATTTTAAAGTTTATTTCGAACATACAGAAAATTTATGGCAAGTAGATGTACCTATTATGATATGTAATGATACAATAGAACAAACTGAAAATATTGAAGAAGAAAAAAATAATGAAATCATGAATGTCGAAGAAGAAAATGATAATAAACCTGAAAATATTGAAGAAGAAAATGATAATAAACCTGAAAATGTCGAAGAAGAAAGTAATAATATGACTGAAATGAATTTACAATCTTTTAATGTAAATACTAATATTGTTGAAAATAAAGAAATGTAAATACAGTGTTTTGAATAATAATAATAATAATATTAAAAGACTATTGAAAATTATCGATTGATTGCAATAATAAAGCAATGACAGTAAGTCTCTAGAATGATATAAGGTTTTATCATTCTTCAGTTTCTGCATTAAAGTCTGTTCTGTACTGTATTTTGTTTTTGGTGGCCAGGCTCGACTATTCAAAATAGTTGAAAAATGATGCTAAAGGTTTCGTCAAAGTTGACAAAATGTTGAAGATGAAGTATGATCCAATGGATCGGTGACTTTGGAGAACACCTGAATAGGTCTATTCTCATCAAAAACATCTTGATCGATGACAATTAATGTGATCTTTGTGAACTTGTTAAAAACATCTTGTCAAAACAACAGTTAACTGGAATCGACTGTTGTCTACCCCCCCCCCCCCCCCCCCCCACAAAATTGAACGCCACCCTATAATAGAAAGGCACCCGGAATAGAAGGCCACCTCGGATCGTTTGATTCTCTGGACATAATATAACGCCATACCAATTTCAAGGAAAAATGTGAAAAAATTTCCGAGAAGACATAATAGAACGCCACCCAAAAAAGACCGATTCACTGGGACATAATAGAAGGCCATGCCTTTTTATTCTGAGGGGGAGTTTAGAAGATATTTTTAATGATTACATGTAAAAATTATAAATTTATTGCCCAGATGTTTCTCTTTTTTTCTCTTCTCATTTTATTTAATACATTTTCTATTAACTGATATAAAAATATTCTTTTCAGAACCTATTTATGAAAAAGATATAAAAATCGACATTTTGTGCAGCTCTTTTGTTAAAAAAAAAAGTGTAGATTCTTTGTAATGATGTTTTTCTTTTCTATTGTATCCTTTCGTTTATGAGTATGTTATAAAAATACGTTATATACGATTCGAAAGAGAAGAAAACGCTCTATACTCTTAACATAAAAAAAATATTTTTTCAGCATCCTTTCTATCGAAGAGAAATAGAATCCGACATTTGCCGCATTACTTTTGTATCATATGTTATTATGATTGACGAATTGTAATTACAAACTGATCTGTTTCATGATTCTATTCTAAGAATAATTTCTCGATCATCGTGAAGTTAAAAAGATTAACACTCGTCGAATATCGAAAAAAGGTGTCCATCAGTGTGGTCATAAAAGATATGATTTGAATTATAGTTCTGGTAGGTCATTCTTCCTTTTCAGCATCATTTTCTTAACCTTTACGAAACTATTTATACTATATCATTTTTCAAGCAATCTGAGTAATCGAACCTAGTCGGTGAAAATAAAGTGCAGCGCAGTACGGACTTAAAAGAATTCGAACATATATATATATCTTTTTTGTAGTCAAACAATAGTTTTGCTAAAGTATTGACAGAAAAATTAAATGAAAGATTTCTATTCGAAAATTTTGTCTTTGAATAGATCTTAAAAGAATATTTCTAAAACTTTCAATCATTTTAATTGTTTTCTGCAATCTAATCAGATTTTGAATATTTCAAGAAGGAAGCAATCGTTTTCATTTAAACTTTTCGAGTATTCTTAAGATCATGAGACTCACTTTACAGACAAAAAAAAATCTTTTGTAAAAAAGATGATGAATCACTTTCAATAGTTGATTCATTAGTTTCAACTTTGCTTCCATGATCAACATGCTACGTTATTATGAATCTTGCGCAAGTCCTCATTGTTATCATTTGACTTCTTTTTATGATTAATTGAAAAATTCGAGAGAAAAACGAACTTTTTGAAGTAATTGTTCTTTTTTTTTACAAGATTGACAATGACGTTTCAATAAATAAAATCGTGCAGAACTTTTCAAAAAAGATGACCAAACGCACGTCATAGTTTTGTATTTTTTTTCATTGCATTATTCACTTTCAAGAAAGAATGAAAATTCATTGGTATCATAAAAAAACAAATTTCATTTTCAATTACTCTATTATATAAAAACATTGACTTTTGTGTCGAGTTCATATACGATTGATCGGATGTTCTTTTTTTTCTATCTTTCGTATGCAGTGTTATGTTATCTATTTAATTTCAGTTTTGTCTCTTATATCTAAATACCAGTAAAAACTGCGAATATTTACGTACACCTGTTTTAATTATAAAATATCTTTTATAGATAATAACTAAGGTAACTATAGATATTCGTATATTATTCCTGTTGAATTCAATCTTATTTCGTAGTTTTTTTAGATTTTACAGATATATCTTAAATCTGATGTAAATAAACCAGTAGCGAATCTCGAATTTTCGTAAATGAGCGCGATCTCTAGTCACAAACCATTTTCTGAAATCAAATGAGAGAGGCCATGTCGGCTCATTTGCGAATGAATCGAAAAATAATCTGAAAGAAAGATGTGACTATCTCTAATGCATCCCTTTCCTATATCTGCTATGACCCCAAACACTAGATAATTGTTATCAGTAACTGACAAAAGAATAAAAAAAGCTTTATTATTCTATTTTTAACTTAAAAGTAAATAAATGTTTTATACGATAAAATACTAAAGCCTTCTATTTCTATCTCATTTTTGATTAAGATCAATATAGTTTTCCTGTTTGAATCAGATTTTGATTGATTTTTTTATAGATGTCTCCCTAACAAAAATTGTCTTTATTTCTAATGAAAATTTGATTAATAAGATAATATTTTAATCTATGATTTATCTTAAAAGAAATCAATCATCGCAATAAGAATATATAAATCGAAATTTTCCCACTGATAATAATATCACATGCTGATTGGTTTAAAACAACAAAATTATATGTATGTATATATAAATCAAATATGTTTCCAAGTTTCATATATTAGTAAGAACTATTTAATTTATATGCATTTATTAATACATTATATTTTTTTATAATTTTAAAAATTGATTTTAAACTCATATAAATTTTCTATTAGTTCTATACATCATATTAAAATTGATATAAGATTTAATAAATAACATTTTGTTTTTTTTATTTGACAATTGAAACAAAAATTCGTTCAATTTTTCTTTAATCAAGACAACTTATTAAATAGTTATGATAAGATGTATAAATCTAAAATATTGACAAAAAAACCTAGATTTTTTCTATTATGAAAAAACAGAAATTATTCTTTTTTTCGTCTTTTTAATTATTGTCAGTAATAATACTTGGAAAAAACCAAGTATATTTCTCTTCCTTTTTTTACGTTCTGTCTCATTTGAATCTTATTATACTTGACGAACCTGGTTATTTATGGTTGGAAACATTTATCTATGATAATTATCATAATTGTTGTATTGAATTAAAAGAATAAACATTTTTCATTTTAATTCAGATTATGATTCTACAAATCATAATGACATGAGAAAAAGAAAAAACGTCATTTTTATATTAAATACAATTAAATTCTCATTGGGATGACATCGTCTACAACAACAACATCTTCAACAACGCATAATAGTAATTTAGAAACATTTTCACTTGTTTGGCTTGATAGTTCAATAAATGATTCACAAGAAAATCTTCATACTCAACAACAATTACGAACAATAATTAATCATTTACGAACATTTGATAATATTCAAAATTGTGAAAAATATATTCGATCTGTATCAAATCATGATCGTATTGTTATTATTGTTAGTGGTATATCAGGTCGACAATTAGTACCACGTATACATAATCTTCGACAAGTTTTTTCAATCTATGTTTATTGTATGGATAGAAAAACAAATGGACAATGGACTAAAAATTTCAGTAAAGTAATTATACGTACACACACACACTTATCTTTAAAATTAGAATCAATTCGATTCTGTTCTAGAGCAATAAGTTAAAAGTTCACAATCGATCTTTAAAAGGATGTTACCTTCTCAATATTCACGCTAGATTGTATTCTTAGGAATTATTCATAATTTCAAGTCGAGAAAAAAAAATATTTTTCTTCATTTTGATTACATGACAGCTAAAAAATGAGTAATAATCACGCAGTTATAATCTATTAAAATGTTTCAATTTGATAAAATCAATAATGTCAAGAGCAAAGAACAAAATATACTTTCTAGCAACTTGAAAACTTATGAATCATGTTTTTCGTAGTTACGTAGAGTATAAAATCTGACGACATGATTTTACATCATTTGTATTTACAAAGTGGAAATAATATATATTAATATTCATTTTTTTTTTCGGTTGTTTGAGTTTAAAAATCAAAGGACATAGGGTCAAAGACTTTTTGAGTATAAATTATCGGAATTTATTATTCATCGATTTCGATCTCGTATACCTTCAGAAAAGAGAAAATTCACATAAAAAACTTAATTACAAGATTGCAATCTAGTTCTATCACTATTTTGATTATCGCTGACGATTCATTATTAATTCTTATGAATTTCAAAATATGTTTTTTGTTTTTCTTTTTTTGTATAATACAAATTATCAATTCATTTATTATTTCTCTTGTTTCAAAATTTGCCTTTAATTTTTAATAGTCTGTCAAAATATTTTGACAAAAAAAGAAAAAAACTAATAAGAATTTTTCAATGGTTTAGATTCAAGCTGTTATTATTAAATCAGAAGATTTAATAAATCAAATTCAACATGATCAAATAAATCGTATTAAAAAAAAAGATGATGAAATTCTTCCAATAAATATATTCAATACAGATCAAGGTCAATCAACAACAGGACTTAATGGACAATTTGTACATTCACAATTATTAATTGATTGTTTACTTCGAATGAAATCAAGTATATATGAAAAGAATGATCTTGTTACTGTATGTAAAGATGAATATAAAGGTAATCCACATGAATTATCAATAATAAATGATTTTGAAAAAAATTATACATCATATCGTGCTATATGGTGGTATACAAGACAATCATTTCTATATCGTTTATTAAATAAAGCATTACGAATACAAAATATTGATTTAATTTATTTATTTCGTTTTTTTATACGTGATTTATATCAACAATTATTAGAATATCAATGTTCATCAATAATACATGTTTAT